TTTTTAGCAGAAAAAAAAAATTGAGATAAATTTTATATCATTGAATTAAAATAAATGAAAATTAAAACAATATTAACCAAGATTGAACCATTTTTGGGCCCAACAACGTTTGAAGCCCACGCCTAGGGACCTTGGCCCAAAAACCATCCCAGCCCAGAACAATAGTTTAGATATATTACATTTAATTTACTATTTCTGATATATTATTTTAAAACTTCATATACCAAGAATTTAAAAATTGATAGTTAGATTTTAAAAAACAAAAAATAGTGGTCCAAGGGTGGCAGGTCAATGGTTCGATTCCGCCCTCCCCCTGCATTGTCGCGATAACAAAAAAAAAAAAAGGATTAGTGCAGTCCATGTGCAAGAGCCCCTGTATCAATACTTCCAATATGCCAAACTATAATGTGACCAATGCCATGGAAACTAGGCATTCACAAAACATTGGCTAGTCATGAACTGGACTCATGAGATTATAGATGTTACAAGCCAAACTTCACCAGGTAGCTTAAGGTCAAGGCTATAGTAAGAAGGAACAGTTACCGTTGGGGTGCCAATCGAGAGTGTCGTAATCAACCGTGACAAAATATAGCTTTTATTTCACAAAGCATAATCACAGGAGCAAGAATACAAATCAAAGGAGCATAATCCTCTGAAACAGCAACGGAATATAAGTATTATTTCACAAAGCATGAGTACAAATTCCCCATTCATCTAATCTTTAATTTTCTAGCATCTTTTTTCACTAAAAGAGATTGGATTCTCAAAGAACAAATAGTTATGGTGATTTAACAAGATCCAGGGATTCACTGCATAGTTTTTCTGTTGACACAAAAATTACATTGGTAAATGAAATTTAATGAACCAGACTTGCATAATCTAAGAAATGCACACTTAACTGGAATAAAATACAATACGGAAGAATCTTTTCTAGCATAAAATCTGCTAATCTCTACCTGGAATTGATCAAGCTGGGGAATGATAACAATGACACACCTAGTAGCAATCTTTCTCTTTATCATGTAATCAAAGAAACTATCTCAAATGCCACCAGTTCCAAGAGGCTGCCTTGAGGTGTCACCTGAAGCCCATGCTTGATAGTCCTTTACTAGCTGCATAGAACCAAACTATCAGAGCACAGGGAATTTGAAACTCTTAAGCACCAACAATATGTCAATCGAAGAGCTCACCAATGCAATCCTACATAGTTAATAGTGCAGAACAAAAAGTTTGTTTACTGAACAAAAAATTCTGTAGGTTTCAGATGCCAATTCCCAAAGCAGATCAATAAAGCTTGTTTTAGCAATAAACTGTAGTCCAGCTCAGGAAGGAGTCCAATTACAAATTTAGCCTACAGAAGAGTCATATTAATGAAACAGCAACATTCAAAGTTATCTGATTTCCTATGTCTTCTAGATTTATCCTGGTTTGATGTTCTTCAATGCAACATATAGTTAGCATTTGAAACTTCTTTGAATACCATAGTACTGAATGACAAGCTATTTGTCAATGTATCCACCTCAAAAAAAACAAAAAAAAACTCAAATCCACAAAGTTCCTAAAACTAACAGCAAGAACAGACACTATGCAAGACCCGGAATACACTCAATTTTTCCAATCCACATTTTGAGATACACCAGCTTCCCAAAACCTCAGAAAATTAAAATTGGCATCGTGATTGCATTTAGGGAAGTACTCTTCCTAATTCACAATGTAATAATGGAGTTACAATAGAAAGTCAATAACCTCGTGGGTAAACCTTTTGACTTTATCTCTGTCAACTGATGAACCAAATGGAAATCCAGCCTCATCAATTTTTTGTTTCCTTGGAGTTTCTTTGCACAATCCCCTGATTGATTCTTCCTACATAATTATCTTTTTCATCTTATTGGCAAAGCTCAAAAAAACTCTTCTAGACTAAATAATTGTATTCAAACTGTTAAGTTTAGAGCGTTAACACAATATTAGAGAGAGACGGAGAGTGGTCAAAACTTAACATACCTCTTACAAATCATTTGTATTTATAGTTATCACGTAATCATACAAAAGATGAGCATATCCTCTTTATGGTATACGTATTACAACCAATATTTACATAATAATACCCTAATACTCTTAACACAAACAAATATCCTAAGGATTTCTAACCATAAATGCAAGTCATTAGGTATTAAATTCAGAGCTACAGCTTGGCCCAAAATATCTCATCTAACCAAAGATCTTCAAATTCAAAGCTTCCATCCTGCTTTTCAGCTGGACAGATTTTACCTCCAAAAGACAAATCTTTCTACCAGGCAGTTTTCTGCATAACTTTGCAGCATTACCTTCTTGCAAAATAACTTTCTGTCACAATAAAACACAATGAAGAAGCAAATAGTCTTGAGCTATTGTAAAGCTTTTTATTTTTATTTTTTTCACAGCAGAAATTAATTGAAGCTTTTAATGTGCCTGACTTATCCCCACAGCCACATGAATTCCTCCCATTCCACATGCTTGAGAACATTACCAGCATAAATCCATGTGGGTGCTCCAAGACCTCCAAGTAACCCATTGGGGATCTCGAATACAACATGATGAAAGCTGCCTTTTAAATAATTTGGAATTCTACATTCTGGCTAGGTTAAACGAACAAAAACCCATTATTTAGTACTGTCTGGCCAATGCATGGTGTTGGGAAGGGTAAACTACCTACAAAAACAACCATTGACAGTTTTAGTAAGGTGGTGGCTCTCAGACTTTTATCTGCTCTATTTCACATGGCAACCTGACCATTTGTTACAACTTTAAGTAATCGCCCCTATAACGGCTAGCTTTAACTGAATGCACAAACTTAGGTTTTAAAAATTCCATGACTCCATGAACTTATGCTTCCTCACAAAATATTATAAGTTTCAAGAGTATTTTATTGGATTCTAATTTGCAACAATGATTACCTTCTCCACATCCTTGTGAAAGTTCGCCTTCCATTTCAAAACTTGACATCATCATATTTCTAAATTTTAAGGACAAGTCGAGGGATGGAGGACATCAAAGATGGAGTCAGACTAAACAACAGATTGAATATGCTTAATTGCTTTTGAAAAGCAACTCCATATTGGTCACGACCAGACCTATTATTACTTGAACTGCCAGTTTAACAATCTGACTCATTGAGTATGAACAGTCATAGACTAGATAATATAAGTTTAGAATTTAACAAATGCAATGCATAGATGTATTGGTCACGACCTGTTGATGGTATGCATCAGATAAGTGGTTTCAACTCTTGCCATCCTGATAGGGATTGCAAAAGAATGTCATAAGTTTGAATCGAAGATTTGGATGTTATATTCCCTGCATCACATCCCCACACCTTCAGTCCGTCATTCTCACAGCTGATGGAAGCCAGTTTGGCTTGAGAATTAAGTTTCATTTTCTTTTCAAAATGCAATGATACAAAGGCTAGTTTGACATGTTGAAAATAAAAATCATTTTCGTCAACAATTTCCAACTGGCAAAATAACCATAAAAGAAATTATCTAACAAGAGTTCTAAATAGAGTTTTCAAAGCTTTACAAAAATTTGAAAGATACAGAGTAGGTACTGTTCATCATATGCCATTCCTTGGCATGACCAACTACCTCCACATGAAAGATTCATAAAAAAGTACTCCCAGTGAAATCAAAAAATTGGGGTCGGACATTATTACCCAATCAAAATTCTAATAGAAAATTCAAGTGAGATTCAAACAAATAGCCAGAGGATCAATCTAAACTAAAAAGGGTGGAGAAACCATATGATTTGGATCCTTCATAAAAAAGGATTACGAACATGAGCATTCCTGCCACTCTCTGGTAACCTCCGTGTGCATACGTGAGAAAGAGGGAGAGGGAGAGGGAGAGAGAGAGAGAGAGAAAAGGGTGTGAGGAACTAATATATTGATGAGGATAGTTCTCCTTAAGTGCCTAGAACGCACGTTTTGAACCCTCTCCCCATCAAAAGGTTTGTTTCTTTTTTGGGCCCCGAGTAAGATTGGTCCTCTAGGTAAATGAATTATGGATCCAGTTGTGTGTTCATATTTTGAGTGTGGAACTTTTAGATTGGTTTCAATATGATTCTGGCAAATTGATGGATGGGATGCTCATATTGTTCGTTTTTTCATTCCTATGTGTTGGTAAAAGTTTTTGGTTGAAGGAATGGACTAGTTTTGCGAAGCTGTTTGTGTGGTGCAATGTTGAATTGCAGCAACAAATATGCTGTTTAAATTTTAATGCAGTGTGCAATTTTCAAATTTTCATTGCAAAGTATTGGGCTCAAAACACAAATAGGGTACCATTCTGAATTGAGGCTTTGTAGAGATGGGAAATTTGGAGGTTTTGTGGTGGCTTCTCCTCTTTCTTTTCTTCAATTCTGCTTCTTATATTTAAGCTGCCACTCTTTGAAAGTCTAACCTGGTTAAGAGGGGAAATACAAAACGCAACAGAACACAGTCTCACAAGAAGGCCTTCCTTACTTTTCATTGTTGGGAAATGGGAAAACCATGTGTTTTCCTGTAAGCGAGCCAACAAAACGTGTACATAAAGGCTGCAACCGTGCTATGTTTATTCAATTTCAGATGGATGAATACAAAACATTATGCTTTAAAAACCAAAGTTTTATGCAACCACAGATATAAAGAAAAGCTCATGGCTATAATTCATCACATATTAAGATGTATTTATTTATCTTGTGCCTTGTCATGTCCGTGTCCTACTTTTTTTCAGACTTATCATGATGGCTTGTCAGAGTAGTGTTGTGACTGGTGTCCCATGTCTTGCAGGCTTATAGAGAGGAACAATCAAAAAATAATTGGCTTGACTTAAAATATGGGAGAAATTTCTCACATACCAAGCTATTAAAAAATGTGATTAAAAGGGGAGCATATGCCATCAGACTTGACCAAAATGGTGTCAACGAAGGCTATAAATAAAATTACCTCATAAAGGGAAAAATCAATAGCATTTTATTTACCTGTGACATAAAGCGTGGGAGCATGAATTTTAATGTTTGTTCTAGGACTTGGGTGCCAGTTGATTCAATTGCTTGCACTGGAATTGCTCGAAATGCAAAAGGAATCTCAATGTTAACCTGAATATCACATAGCAATGCAAAAGGCTTTTACAGTAAGAACATTTACTTGGAATGATATTCAACAGCCAGAAGAGAAGCCATTCTCTATAACCACCTCAATAACTGCATCTGAACTAAGTTGCTGGACTGGTGAGGTGCTCTGTTTGCTATCACATGATATTCTATTCACCATAAAAGCTGCATGCCCATACCAAATAAAAGTCAAAGCATTCCAGGAAAAACATTATGTAATCAATTCAGAATCAAATGACAAAAAATTTGATAACCAATTATTGGTCCAGCAAAAAAACTCCTGTAGTAATTGTTTCCGTCGAATTCCTGAAGATTGATGGCACAAATGTTCCGCCTCCTTTAGAATCTTTGGAATTGACATGTACTATAATCACGAGGTAGATTGTGTACAGCTGCTGTCCACTGTTTAGCATCACTAGAAGCAACGCAAATGTCCTCCGGTTTATGAGAAGTTGCAGCAATATCCCTTTATTACACAATGTGTCATGTGGCAAATAACCATTGGCTGGCCACGGCAGTGATCGTAATGTACACTGCTAAATTGTGGGAGTAAGTTTGTAAACCCATTACAACCATGATTCTTAAATTTAAACAAATTTTCTGGACAATGGCACATCTTCCAAAGATATTTGAACACTAAGAATTACCTGGAACTAAGGTTAAAAATAACAAATCTTTGTAAGATACAAAGAACCTCAAGTAATTTTAGAAGCATACACCACAACTGCATTCTTTAACCTCTTTCATTTCCCAAGGAATATTTTTTTCTAATGGTTTACAGGATATGATTCTGGCTCAGTCAATCAAAAAAACTGAATACACTTCAGGTTGTGAATGTCACGGGATTATTTGGCAATTCCTTACAAACTACAGATGTCAAACGAGAGAAACTATACCTGACTGAAGTGCCAAATCAGAGGTTTGGGATACTGGCACATTATTTCTACTGTTGCGAGTTTTATATTTGCCATAGTCCCAAACTGAACTCATATTTGCCAGTTTTTCCCAATATGAATATATACAAGTTATAAACGGCAAGAAATGGGAACCAAACAAAGCACTTTGTCATAGCAATGTCGTATAGTACAATTACAAGTAAATACTTGTATAATTTCACTGACATTTAGCTACAAACAAGAAAAACTGAACAAAAAATTACCATCAAACTTATCATTCTGTGCAACAACTATTGGCGATCCCTCAAGCTGCATCAAAGTAATCAAAAATCAAGCATGAAAAAACCTAACAGCAAATTAGAGAAAACTAAGGATATATATCTGTACCTTGCAAGACAAGAGCTTAATACAACAACCATTAGGCTGCTCTTCAACTCTAACCAACAAAACCGGGCACACCTCAAAAGCAAAGAACTTCAACTTATACACATAACACCTGAATGTACTGTCATCAACCCTCTCGATCCTTTCGGCGTCCAACACAGAGTACTGACTCGCTGGAAGGCTCATATATTCAACTACAACAAACACACAATCCAAAATTTCCGTTCCAATTACACAAATACAAAACAATAATGCTATGAATTACACAAATCTAAAACAGTAATGCTATGAATTACACAAATCTAAAACAGTATATAAGTGTATTACGTAGAGGGCGTTTGCCAACTGGAACCCGCACGGACTCTCTTCGTCTTGCGACGAATCGTGCTTTTGGTGATGAGGGGGCAGAATCGGCTGAAATGCGAAACGAGGGTTTCGGAGATTCATCTGAAGAGGATGAGAAATTGAAGTAGACATGCCGAAGAGAAAGGCGAGTTCTAGGGTTTCTGAAGTGGAATGAAGTTGAGCTTAAGTGTGTGGAAGAAGTGCACACTGCCATTTTCTTTTTGATTTTATTTATTTATTTATTGCTTAACTTTATAGAGAAACAGAAAACGGTTCATAGTAGGAGATGTCGTTGAGGATAAGCCAATTATCAGTGTGCTGAGTAGCGTTGACGTAGCTACAGATGCGTACGTTAGCTACAAATGGGTTACCTTGCTAACATGCGCAGAATACGTAAGGCTTAGTTCACACCAAGACAAATGAAGCCATCGCGAAGCGTCAAGAGTACTGCTAAACATGGATGGCATGACGCACACAATCTCACCGTCTCGAGAGTTTAAGGCCAAATTATACTTTAGTGCCCCCAACTATAACTCTTTTTCCATATTACTCCTTAAACTATCATATTCTTTACATTATATGCACAATTACATGATCAGATTCGCCTGCCCCAATTAATAACGCCCAAACGTTTAGGGTAACCTGAAATGCGCCAGCAAATATCAAAACACACGATTCGACAATCAAACGAATCGAACGGAATTGAACGCATAGCCATCTCAACTCTTCAAAATCCGAGAAATGTCCCAAATTTCAACAGAAAACACGAAGAATCGACATGTAACTAGGGCAAGATGGTGGTCACAGATGCATATGTTTTGTCGGCTACAATACTTACAAAAATGGCCCTCAGAAGTTCACATCACTTTGAATTCTTCTTAAGAATATCGACAAACCAATGAAGCAGATAAAAATAAAAATCAAATAGAATGGTGTAGGAAATACTACCAAAAACAAGAAATTTCATTCAGAATGGTCAAAGGATTACACAAATTGATCACAAAACACCAACCCTTTACAACCCAACACAAACCCTAAATTCAACTACAAACCAAACCCTAAAAACTCAAGAACTGGTGAACTTGGTAACGGCCTTAGTCCCTTCAGAAACAGCATGCTTAGCCAATTCACCAGGAAGCACAAGCCTCACAGCAGTCTGAATCTCCCGAGACGTAATCGTAGGCTTCTTGTTGTACCTAGCGAGCCTCGAAGACTCCTGAGCGAGCTTCTCGAAGATGTCGTTGATGAAACTGTTCATGATCCCCATGGCCTTGCTTGAAATTCCGATGTCTGGGTGGACCTGTTTCAGGACCTTGAAGATGTAGATCTTGTAGGTCTCCACCGACTTCTTCGATCTCTTCTTCTTCTTATCCGCCGCCGACGACGACGACTCTTTCGGTAGCTTTTTACCGGCCTTTGGGGCCTTCTCCGCCGGAGCTTTCTCCGCCGCCGGTGCCTTCTCCGCCGCGGGCTTCTTCTCCGCTGGCTTCTTCTCTGCCTTCGGTGCCATTTCTAGAGAGAGAAAGTTGGTATAACACGAGAGAGAGGAGGTGAGGACTTGTGAAATTGAAGGGAGAAGATGTAGTCAGAAATTGAGAAATGTGATTTTAAAGAAAGCTGATTTTGTTTATATAGGAATCTGATGGTGTGTTGTGATTGGTGGAAAATGGAGTGTCGCGGATCGTGAATTTAGACCGTTGAGATTGATGCTAAATGGACGGTGTAGATTATGAGGTGAACTGTTTCACACACTTTTTCGTTTTGGACGCTGCGATTGGTTGGTTTTATGTGACACGGGTCGAGTATTTGGACCGTTGATCGTGATACAGACTGGCGGTGGAGATCGAACAGGGTGAAATTGAATTTGCCTACGCTATTTATTTTCAAACTGCCGCCATGTATGTGGCCAGACCCAGACGATAGTGAGCGTCGGATTATACTCTATCCATTGAGCATTTTGTGTTGGGTTACCATTTAAAAAAGGTTAATCTCATTTTCCATGTCGAAAGATCGTTCGAATTTTAATTTGTACCTTCAAAGAGTAAAAATTTTAATTTTCACCCTCAAAGATAGAAATTTGTATCAATGTGCACCCCCAAAGATCAAAAATTTTAATTTGCACTCTCAAAAATAGAAATTTGTATCAATGTACACCCCCAAAGATCAAAAATCTCAATTTGTACCTTAAAGGATAGAAATTTATATCAATGTGCACCCCAAAGATAAAAAATCTCAATTTGCACTCTCAAATATAGAAATTTGTATCATTATGCACTTAAAACTAAATTGATAAATTATACCTAGATCTCCTCATGTTTGTCACTTAATCATTTGGACCTCTTTACATTTATAATATTACTCCTACATCTCATAACATTTATGCACGTACAACATGTAACTCATTTTCATTGATATCTGTTAATATAACCGTTAAAAAATATAATTTTATCGTAATAAAAAATTATAATTTCATATTACCCTTATTTTATGGGTCCAATATACTCTAAAATTCAAAATCAACCTTACCATTTGAATGTCTAATAAAATGTAGATATTTATATATTGTTTTTCATATTTTCCTTTATATAAATATCTACATTCTATTAAATATTCAAATGGTAAACTTGATTTTGAACTTTAGAGTATATCGAATCCACAAAATAAAAAGTAATATGAAATTATAATTTTTTATTAGGATAAAATCATATTTTTTTAACGATTATTATATTAATAGATATCAACGAAAAGTGGTTATGTTTACACATGTATAAACGTCATGAGATGTAGGGGTAATATTCTAAATGTGAAGGGGTTCAAATGATTAAGTGACAAACACGATGGGATCTAGGTATAATTTATCAATTTAATTTTAGGTGCACATTGATATAGATTTATATATTTGAGGGGGTAAATTGAGATTTTTGATTTTTGGGGGTGTACATTGATACAAATTTCTATCTTTGAGGGTGCAAATTGAGATTTTTGATCTTTGAAGGTGCAAATTGAGATTCGAACGATCTTTTAGAGTGTAAAATGAGATTAACCCTTTAAAAAAAATGTTATTTGTAATAATTTATTAATTTAATCGGTTAATAACATTTTTAGTCTTTAAATATATATATTTTGTCAATTTGATTTTCATTATATTAATTTTATCAATTTAATTTTTAAAGTTTCAATTTGTATGACTTTGATCCCTTTATTTGATAGTTCGTTACGTTTTGTTATAGAAATAATTACGTGTCAGTTTTTCAGACGATATCATGTATCCAACACATGATCATTCCATCAAAAATTTAATGGTTCTTCAATGTATATATCATTTAAACACGAATTAAATATTTTGGGGATCAAATTATTAAAATTAATATTGTAAGGACCAAATTGACAAATAGAGCATACTTTGTGGACCAAAAATGTTATTAACCCTAATTTAATTTATTATAGTCGTTGAATTGATAATAAATTCTAATAAATAGTATAACTAATTGTAAATCTAATATTATTAAATCAGTAAATCAGGTTCAAGTAATACTGTTTAATGAATATATAACATATTAGGGCATTGTTCGGAGCAAATTCAATATCTCCAATAACAGTATAATCGCCTAGATGACCCTCAACTCCGGCCTTCTTACAACGAATCGAGTTAACAAAATTTATCCCAAACTCGTGACTCTTTGAAAACAAATCATTTGGTAAACGGCTTAAAATGGAACAATAAACAAATTCTTGATGTTATTGACATGCAATTTTAAGAGTAAAAGCAAATAATACAACCATTATCCCCAATAAGCATCCCCTAATTCATGAAGCAACGGTTGACGGTTTTTTTTGTGTTGAATTTCTATTTAGAAGATGATGAATTTTTTTTCAATTTAGTGGATGGTTTTATTTAGAATGCACTCACATGTTGCTCGTTCTAACTAGTTCCATTTTTCAATTAAATTTTTACCGTGTGATTCTATTAACAGTGGGTTCTTCTTGAAAGTTCTTCGTAAATTGGGAAATATATTGAATTAAATAGTTGTTCTCTAAATCGTGAATTTTATGTTGATTTTCTAAGTTTAATCACGGTGAAAAGCTTATCGATAGGGAGAAGAAACCAAAGCTATCTATCTAAGTGTTATATACACAAAGAAAAAATTCCTAATAGACTTCCAGCTCAACCATGTGCCTTGGATTCGTGCTCTGTACTTCTATCCGTAAGGTCTTTTGATGGACTTGATTGCTTCTTGAGGTGCATTGCTGATTTGGCTTGGTGACTTGGCTGTTGCCTTGTTGGAGATACAGATCATACAAGTACGAATACTTCCTCGCAAGATGGAGAGTACGTATATATTGCATACTCTCAACTTGAGGAGAAGAAAATAAAAAGGATTAAATGGTAAAACCTAGTTAAGATATCAGCTAGCTTAAGATGTGAATGTATGTATGCAGTAGAGATCACCCCTTCTTGAATTTTGTCTCAAATTAGATGACAATCTAAGTCAATGTGTTTTGTACATTCATGAAAAACAAGATTATGTGCAATATGGAGAGCTGACTGGTTGTCACAATAAAGAACAACAAGTTGATCATGAGGAGTGGAGAAATCTTCAAGAAGATACTTAATCCAAGTCTACTGATAGTGAATCAGAATTAAAAATATCATTTATTTATCTATTATTGATATCAATTTATTTAATTATTAAAAGTATCATCAATCGACGAACAACGAGGGAAATCCCCTCATCATCATATGTCAACGCACTCTCGTCCTCTTCCTTGAAAACCTCGTCCTCCACCTGGTACTTCTCCTCATGGTTAGCCTCTTTAGTAGCAACCAAATTTATTTCTCCCCGCTTAGGGCACTAATTAGAACGATGTCCTGGCTGACCACATCAATAACATTTATCTCCTTTGGGTCTGACGTAAGGATTCTTCAATGGACGTTGGTTATTGGACCAAACTCGAGGCTACTGCCCTTGTAAATACCCTGGTTGTTATTAGAATTTCTCCCTGGAATTGCAGAAGGGCTCGAGGTACTCACAACCTGTTTTCCTTGGTTCACCATAGGACGCGATGAATCAAAAGAACTTTGATTCTGCACCTGGGCCCTTGCCCTGTCTAACTATGTTTCCACCCTCGTGGCTAGGTGGATTATTTTAGTCAAAGAAAATAGAGTCCATAAAGAAACTCTATCCTAAATGGTAAAACGCAAACCCCCAATGAACAAAGTGATCTTCCGAGACTCGGTCTCAGTCAAGTTATTGGGGGAAGAAAGTCTCTTAAATTCCTCTGTATATACTTGAACTATTCTATTGCCTTGCTTGCAATCTTGATACTGTAGGAATAAAGGTAAAAACCTCAATCTAAGCAACCTCTTCATCTTCAACCAAGCACGGATCAGAGGCTTGCCTTCCCTAGTACGAGCGAGTTGGGTTTGCTTCCACCAAGCAGAAGCCCCTCCATTTTATTTGTTAGCCACCAACTTCACTTTTTTTGCCTCTTGAATATCTATGTAGTGGAGGAATCGCTCCACCTCTGTCAACCAGTCAAGGAAATCCCTAATATGAAGATGTCCATTGAAATTGGGTACGTCAACCCTTATTTAAAAATCTTTGTACTCACATCCAAGATCTTTATAACAACGCTATTCAAAAAATCATCATCGTCATCATTGAAATCTACAATGGGTGCTGCTTTAGGAGGAACACCACATACGTTTTGTCTTGTTGGAGAGACAGAATTTTGATCTCGATTTGGTTGAACACGAGCCCTATTGACATTTTGTCTATGGAAAAGGTGACAAACGTGGTTTAGGCTACACACCACCAACATAGACCATGTTTTTTAAGGGTATTCCCAACCCATCACTCCATGAGTGAAACTAGTCCATCAAAGACTAAAAATGGTAAGGGTAGGAATTTAAAGAAGCTAGTTATTAAGGAAACTCAAGTCAATCTTAATGTGTGTTTCACTTATGGAAAACATGGCCATCACAGTTCACATTGCAAGAAAATATAGGAATGTCTTGAATAAGAAGCTCATGCATCTAGAAAACCAATTAAGGGTTTATATGATCAAGTCATGAATTTTTCTATACTTTTGGAGAGGTCAAGTTAGTCTAAGCACACACATGCATCATCTTCTAAAGGCTCACATGCTAAATTGCATAGAGCAAGGATTGCTAAAACTGTTGGGATTGTTGTTGTTGTTGTTGTCGCAGGAAGTCCCCTTCTTTCTCTCTCTTGACCAATGCTCCGACTTCACTCATTCAAAAGGTTAGTCGTTGTCACACAGGTCTATCGACCAGATTTCTTTATCAGCAAAGGACCAACATTGTCTAGTAACCATTCTGAGTGGGTGTACGAGACTAAGAGAACCTTACAAGATTTTCACTATAAAAAAAGAGGATATGTACTAGACAGTAGACATTAATGGCTATAAGTTGGAACTAGGGTACCGAGATTGCAATGATCGCTCAATAGTAGTGGTGGCTATTATCGCCGTGCCACATGGAATGGG